TGAAGCCTTACTACTCATGGTATGCTCCTTCTGGGATGCTTCTTCTTCCACATTGTCACAGGGCTGATTCTTACTCTTTCTTCAAAGTACAGCTATGTTTTGTTCCTTTTTCATTCCAGGATCATGTCTCCTTAGTCTCCTTTTGGCTGTGACTATTTCTGTCTTTCCTTGTTTTTGACGCTTTCAACAGTTGACAAGTACTGGCTATGAAGTTTGTAGATTATTCTACAGTTGTATTTGTTTGATGTTTTTCTCGTGGTTAGACTTGAGACATATATTCTTGGAAGACCACCTAGGTAAAATCACAACATATTACTCTCAACATGACATATTACTGTCGATGTTGACCTTCATCACCTGAGGTGGTGTTTTTCAGATTGTCCACTGTAAAATGACTGTTTTTTCACCACTTTCCATACTGCACTCTTTGGAAGGAATTAATTATCTGCAGTCCACACTTAAGGAGTGAGGAGTTATGTCCTCACCTCTTTGAAAGGTAGAGTATCTACATAAATTATTTTGGAATTTTTCTGCATGGGGTGTATATTTATTTTTCCATCTTTATCTTAATCATTTAGCTACATCAGTATGGACTGATATTTATTTTATATTTTAGTGTATAATCCAATATCACCTTCTTTATTTTGTTGCTCAACTTGTTCTAGTTTTGGCCCTTAGGAGCTCTTTTAGTTGACTCCTTTGTCCCTTTGACATACCCTCATCATTGTGTGCATGTGTGCACATGCACACACGCACGCATATGTACACATACACTCACATCCCAATTTCTGGGTCATACAATATGCTCCAGGATCATCTTTTCGTGTATTACCTGTCTCTGTCCTAGAATCAGCTATTTCTTCCAAGGAGCCCTCAGTTTTTTAAATTGGAGACCGGTACTAGAAACTAAGATCTTGGCATTGGGAGTATTCATTGATACTGAGGTATAGTTGCTTCTAAGACCTCTCAGTTGACAGAGCAAGGAAATATGTGTATACTAACCCAGGCATATACATATATCTATAAATACTTATATATGTAACCATCTGTATCTGTATTAAACTAAACATAAATTCATACCGATGTCTTCTACTCTAATCCATTAACATAGGGATCATTCTAGCCTCTTCTCCTTGTTTATCTATAACTTCCTGTCCAAACAGGTGAGAAACCTATTCCCACCATCTACCAATCATTTATTTAATTGTTCATTTTCAATATAGATATATAATGAGGTCAGAATTGTTAACTAGTACTCCTGTGAGAAACACTTTATTAAAATATAGTGCTTTTATACAGTTTCTTTTGCCTTTTGTCTCCCACACTCCACTCATTTCCAAAGTTCCTTAGGTTAGCACCTTTCCCCCAACACTTCTTTCAGTGAGGTTGGCTCACACATTTGTAATACAGTCAGGTTGTTCTGTCACATTCTGCATTCCACCCAAGATCCTCCATCCTCTTAAAGGATGTCTTTAAAAATTTTTATACATTAAGGTTTATAGGGGAGGAAAAATAATTTTTTTAACCTTCTGAGTTCTTGCCTGAGACCCCCTGTAATAAAAAAAAAAAAAAGATTAACAAGAGAAAACAAAGAAGTTTATTAACATGTGTACCTCACATATACATGGAAGAGACCTAGGAAAACTGAGTACCTTTTTGGGATGGCCCATGCCACCACCTTAAATACCATCTTCCACTAAAGACGCAAGAAAGATTGGGGGTGAGAAGAGGCCAAATATAGGAGGTTACCAGGAAAGTCTAAGTGACTTCCTTCTCCACCAGTAAGAGTTTCTAGAGACTTAGAGTCATTCTTCTCTTCCTAGTACAGAGAGAGAGACACCTTTACAAATAGAGATCTATTTTATAAATGTAAATTTCCCTTAGGTAACTCTTTGTTTTCAGAGCTTCTCCTGTAACTGCAGTTTCTCAAAATAATCAGCTCAGAATAATCTTTATACCAAAAAAGGATATTTTGGGGTGGCATATTCTGCCACCCTTTATTCCCACCTTCAAAACTTCCCCAAGAGTTTCACAGTTAAGAAGCTGAGTTGATTGATTGCTACATCTCTCAATGAAGCAATCTTAGTCTGAGAAAGTTTAGTTCAGTTTTAAAGAG